AAACCAGAGCATTTAAACATATTAAACAACTATAATAAATGTCTTATTTTATGTTCAAGAATTCAAAAATGAAATAAAATACCATATAACTTCGGTATGGATCTTAATTCTAACACACCCTGTACATTTGAAAATAATTTTAAATTATGCACGCCTCTCTACATACAGATCGGGACAGGCAAACTCTGCGGGTTGGATTTTAACGTGTAAGACAGTGATGTAGACAGCTTAATGACAAAACAAATGTATTAAAAAGAGAAAAAAGTTGGGTGTGTATGGGTGGGTACATTTCTTCTGAGCGGTATTGCCGGATTTTGCCTCAAAATTTCAAACCGCATAAGCAGACGTTTCAAAAAAATGTTGCATCAGGGTTGGATCTGGATTTTCGACAATTAGTTACTCATTTTACTACAACTGTAATAGATTACATTTAGCTTAGATATATTATCTTCATTTCAATAGTATACATGAAAGTTTTTAACATAGTTTATTTTATTCTAATTTATTTAAAGCTAAGATAATAGATTTATACCGGATCGACAAGAGAAAGTCTTGGACAGGGCCGCGTTAAGGTGATTTGGTACCCTAGGCACCATTTATTTTGCCGCCCCCTTCAACTAGTAAAAATTCAAATAAATTTTGTTATTTCAAAAATGCCTATCTAAAAAAAATAAAAAAAAAACTCCATTAGTCGACGTATGGTGTCATTGATGACGTGCAACGAAAGTTGGTTTAATTTCCCTTTAGTTTCAAACATTAATTAAAATACATGATATTGAAAATACTACTTGGAACTATTAAAAATGGCTTGGTTAGGATGTGCTACAAACAGGGTTGGCATGATTTAAATCAATTGATTTAAATCAAGTGATTTTTTTAATTTTAATCATGTCATTTAAATTAAAAAAAATATTGAAACTTTATTATAAATCAAAACATAACTGTAAAAGTTACAAAAATATGTCCTAGACAACTATAAAACATATTTCTATAACAGGTATAACAGATAATAAATCGTGAATCCATTAGACCGTTAAACGCCAGGGATTTATTTTAAAATGTATGTATAAGTGACAAAAATTCGCTGTTCTAATACATATCATTCGCAAAGTCTAGTGCAGAATTAGGTTCTTCTAATATAGAGACTATATCTTCATTCCCGAGAATCTATAGTCGTTGTCAGAAAATATGTTGTTTTATATTTTTTTTGAAACGGTTGTATGTTTCCAAATTCCTACCGAGACGAGACGCGACGTTTTGATCTGCAGTAAGTACTTTATACTTTGACTTTAGATAATACATACCAATTTCATTCTCTACTTAAGAATATTTGGGAACAATAGTGTATTGTTTTATTAGGAGTAAAAAATACACTTTTTTTGACGATGCTATACCTTTGAAGGACCATCGTAAAGCTATTCCGACGTTACAGGGAGGCACAAAAAGTACATTTTTACTCCAAATAGAACATACTATTTTTTATAAACATTACAAATATTTTTTTTAATCAATTTCAAACATTACAAATAATATAAACAGTAATCTAGCAACAATTTGTACACTCGTTGAATTTTAGACTTAATATCAATTTAATAATATATTTTTGTATTTTTATGCCTAGGCGTTAAAATGACAAAAATTAATACTTTTCAGACGTTTGAAAAAAAAGCCTTTTGATCTGAAGCGAACGACTTTTTTTGCGGAATATATTGGTGACTGATGTGGAAAAATCACAACGCCCCGTAGAATAGTTAATATTATCGGTATCGGGGTATAGATTTAGCCATTTAGTATAGGACTCTAATTAGAAACAAGTCCTAGTCATTTGGAAATCCGATTTAAATATTGTTTTGAATTAAAATCAAAAAAATCTGATTTAAATCAAAAAAATCTGATTTAAATAAAAAAAATCTGACTTTTTTGATTTTTTTAAAAAAATCGTGATTTTTTCCAACTCTGGGTACAAGACATATTAAAAGCATTTTTCATATTTTTACTGCTATAATGGAAAAAATGTACATTTTATGACCACACAACAAGAGTTGTGTGTCGATTTTTACCTGTGAAATGTAATTCCAGCCACTTTTTTCTCGGCCTTTGCAGTCATACGCTGAACATTTCACCATACTAAACAACACAGTTTATAAATTTAAAACAAAACAGTATTCACAAAAAAACATAAAAATTTGCTTGGTGTCACCTCGAAATCTTGTCACCAAAGTATGGCCGCCGATCAAATTTTGGCCTCAAAAATTTTTCACTGGCGAATATGCTTTTTAGTCAGAGATATAAGTGGGAGAATGAGCTTCGATGAGTGCGCATCCAAATTTTTGTCGACAGCAAGATGGCAGACATCTTCCAGGTCTCGCTGTCACTTCCCCTCTTTAATTGACATCTGTTTGTTTTGTTTTTTTTTCGTTTGTGTTGTTATCTAGTTAAAATTTATTATTATCTCAATTATTCTAAACACTAATCCAAAAAGGCTTGTTGTATATAGTCAGAGTCATTCTAAGAAAGCTAATACGCCGGGAAAAATGATTAGTTTTCATGTGTAAGTTTATACAACATAATCGTGTTTACAGATGATCCAAAACTGTTTATTTTTAGTTTTCGTAAAGGCGATTTGTAAAAATCGTGATTGTAATTGGGAATGGTCAAAAACCAAGTGTGATGTGTCCATTTGAAGAGGATGTTTTTATTACATGAAGAAAATACTTGGAATCAATGTTCGTGCTTCTGTAAAACAGTGCACTCTTATAGTGTCCATGAAAGCACAAGTTCAAGTGTACCAGAAATATGTCAAATATTGTATCACTCAGGCAAACAGATTGGTCCTTACTTGACAAGGAGATTATTTGGAGGAAAAGAAAACATAAGATAGGGTATTTTAATCGAACAGCGAAAATTTAACATTTCTATTGTAAAGTTTGTTGTAGGTAGTTGTAGTTTTGTGCTAAATATTTCTAACATTAGCAGTAGCAGTGTTCAGAGTGTCAAGAGGAGAAGAATTCAGTTAATTAGATTTATGCACAGTTACAGGTATGAAGGCTTTTTCAAACATAGTATCGAGTTCTATAGTCAACATTTTTAGTATTCCTACAACTGTAAAAACAAGGAACATTGAACTGAAAAAATGGCAAGATTTATATAGGAAGAAAGGGTATTTGCCAATAAGAAAATTAAATCTGTGGGCAGAAGTTTCTTATTTAAAAACTGTTATGGGGCATATATTAATTTGTATCTGTGCCACAAATCACTGAGAAATATCATATAATATTCATAATTGTTAAATGAGATTATTAGTCATGAAGCTTACAATGTTACTTTGTTTCAATATTACACGTTTATTGTTGTAAAATCTATGATGAAGGTCAAAAGCATTTTGCAATGGCCTTAAATTGTGAGCCAGGATTTATATCAAAGGTATTTGATGCAATGAAACTTAATCAGGGGATTGTCAATCCCATGTTTTTAAATAGATAAAATACAGGCCAAAGTTGACAATATTACAGTTGAGAAGAAACTATTTTATCTTAAAAAAAATTTCTTAAAATTCTGAGATCATATAATCTAATTTTCTTAATAATAAATTAGGTATATGTATGTTGTACATACAGAATTTTGGTATGGACAAATAAGGATCGACAAGCTTCTTTTGTGCAAAAAATAAATTATTTTTTGTAGTATTAAGACAAACGATAATGTGTTTTACAAACTTACCGGTTTATATTAAAAATACAAGGTAATCATCAAAAATAATTATGCACCAAATGTTTTTTATGAATATACAACTTGAACAAAAAGTTGTTTAGAACAATTTTTACCAAATTTGCAAAAATTTTAAATTGAAACGCGTAATTCGTACAAGTAAACATGAAATAATTTAAATACTTATTTAATGGCATTTCGAGTGTTTAACGACGAAAAGGTCATCTGTCCGTAGCGTCTTTTGTCAGAATATTCGTATATTTAGTGTATTATATACCAATATTGTACGCAGTTTTGAAACTGATAATTAAATAAATCATATTAATGTTAACTAACCATAATAAATGATAGAATTTCACTAAATTTAAATTGCCCCCCGTATGGTTGAAAACAGCAAATTGATATTTGATTACTTATAGATTACCACCTATATACAAAATGACACGGAGACCTGGAATATGGCGCCCAACTTGATTAGACCTTCCGCGCATGTTGAAGCTCATTCTCTATCCCTTCTATTTCTCTGATTTGGTCAGATTTGATCCATAGATTTGATTTGGAATATAATTTATTAGGAATGGGCACCTCCATAATTAATAATACAGCAAAAATTGAAAAGTCTAGATCATATACATTAGAATATATGATATAGGTATATATTCTTTGGGTAAATATATGACAAAATTAATTGTCTCCGTGGTCTGTGGTTAATTTCTGTCATCTCATCCATCTCATCTATGATTTCTGTATTCTGTGGCCAATGTTTAACTAATGGTAAATCGCTTTTGTGCTGTATTTATTGTTTGAGATATTTACTGTAGACTATGCTGTAAAATTATTTTAAAAAGCAATACTTGGTGTAACTTGATAAAATTAAAAATAGTAATTATTCGGTGCTTAAATTAGAAGGTAGGAATTAAATCACACATCCAACCGAACTTGTAGGCTCATCGCCATCTTTGTAAATGAGCACGAATATTTGAGGATACTAATTCTACTAGCATACTAGGTTTAGCTTTCGAATTATTTCTATAATATGGAGCGTTTACGTTATTCACCGCCATGTAGAAATATGAGTATTTCTCCAGAGCCTTGTAAGAATAATTCACGTTCCAAGTCAAAATCCCCCCACTATCACAGAAGACACAATGGATATAATAATCACAGTAAAAAATGTAAGTTTATTTTTATACGAGCCTTTGGTTCTTTAAATTATACAAAATAAATAAATTATCTTTTGCAGTCCATCATATTGCCAGAAATTATTCTGATTACGACAGTAATCGGGACTATATCACAGGTTTAGAAGAAGATCAAGAAGTAATGACTCAAGATGGGAGAGGGATGATAGAAAAGGTCGTGACAAAGACAGATATCGTGGTGAAGATGATAGGGACAGTGATAGGTACAGGTTATTTGGAATGGTTCTAAAGTTTCTTGTAAACATTGTGTATTAAGTAGTATTATACTTTTGACAGTGAGAGAAGTCCAAACGGTGCTGTCATTGGGGCCAGCGGATCTGAAATCATCGGATACAAAAGCCAACCTCCTAATAACACCATTATGATTAGAGGACTTGCCCAACATATTACAGAAAATGATGTAAGGCTGCACAAAGCTTTTTTGTTTTAAATAAATGTAAATAATGTTTGCCTTTCTTTTAGATTCGCCAAGATATCATACAGGGGGGTTTAATGGCCAAGGACATAAGATTAATCAGGAAAAAAGATACAGGTATAATAGCTAATTTAGCTTTAAATTTTCGGTTGTCTTTAGGCACAGTTTTGTGAATAAAATCGCATTGAAAGGTTGCATAATGCCATTCGTATCTATTGTGCTGTTTAGGTGCGTCACGCGGTTTCGCCTTTGTCGAGTTTGCAACGCTCAATGAAGCAGTTCGTTGGATGGAGATGAAACAGGTATCTTAACTTTCAGCGCAGCCTATTGTTTAATTACAATGTCAATTGATAAGTATGCATATCTTTTCTATATCAGTAATTTATCTGCCTTCCAATGAAGCAGACCATCTAGCTATCAGCCTTCTTAACAATGAAATTAAAGTCAGTTTCTCACCTTGAATAAGTTCTGTTGTTTTCTCTTTGTTTATGTGTTAAACTTTTAGGCGACGGAAAAAAGGTCTCTTTCATAAGAGGGGTTGGCTGAATTACATAGCTGTGCTCTTAAAATTTCTGATGTTTTTTCAGGGCATATTGATGTTGCAAGATCATTACCGCGCTATCATGCAGTACAGCATTCCCAAAGACAGTAATCCTACAGAGAAAGCTCCCCCCCATAAGGCATCTGCAGACTGGTTTTGTATTAAGGTTTGTTTCCAAATATCACGTTAATATTACAGTTTCTGCTATAAGACGTTTTTAGTGTGGAGCTCAGAATTTTAAAAGAAGAGACAACTGTTTCAAATGCCACGCGTCTAGAACCGAGTCCGAAGACGGCGGCAGCGGTAGCGACGAGACTTGTAATTACACAACTAAAAGTATAGCTAATTATAAGCATAATAGTGTTAGCAATATTTTTATTTTTGGTTATTTTTGTAGCAATTCTGCTTAGAAACTTAGACGCCTTAACTACAGAAGATTCTGTAATGTCTGTTTTAAACAGTGTTATTCCAGAACTGGTAAAATCAATTTCTGCAGTAAGTATTGGCAGGGATCCTTTAACTTCTACATCAAGAGGTATTTGCTATTTAGGAACCGAAAGTACCATTGACGCTCTGGCTATTTATGGAGCTCTTAATGGCCCTAAATCTCCTCTGATTATCGACGGCAAAACTGGTAATTTTAACTTAAAATCTGGAACTTTAACAGCTCTAATTTCGAAATATTTTTTATATAGTTATTCTGTCGTATTGTAAATACAACATGGGTGATACAAGGAAAGCTTATTCTCAAGCTGACCATATGGCTTTCCCGAACGCGTCCATTCCCCAAACCTATGATATGGCGGACGTGGAAAGTTTAGCGGAGGTACGCTTCACGGCGTTACGCTAAATCTCCAGATGAATACTTACATTATATAGAATACTATAGGTTATACTTTACTCAACAAATAAGCGCGGGGAATTCCATCACTCTGCACAACGAGAATCAAATGGACGCTGCCAACGCCGCGGCTGCCGTTGCCCAATCGGCCATACAGCAAATGAACGCCAGCAAAACGTACTTTGATAACACCCATGTGCAAATACCAACTGGCACAGATGGAAAAAGATACCGTGAGTTCAATTTTACTCCTTTATTTTTGTACCTAAATGTTTTAACCGGATTTTTTCCTCCCTCTAGCGGTACCAGATATTTCAACTTACGTTTACGACAAATCAACTGGGTACCAATATGATCCGGCTACGGGCCTCTATTACGACCCTAACTCAACTTATTACTGGAATAGCGTCATCCAGAAATCTCTATTTTGGGATCACGACAAGTTCACTTACTCTTTGGCCCCGTCTTACGACAGTGTAAATAACTCCCCACAACCGTCTTCTAATGCCAGCGTCAACGCAGCGCAAGACGACCAGAAGAAAAACGTCAAACCCGAGAAACAGGACAAGGTCAAGGTAGCGAAGAAAATAGCCAAGGACATGGAGCGGTGGGCGAAAACCCTCAATCAGAAAAAAGACAATTCCTCCATGAAGAGTGCGTCTGAAAATGCCATGTTCCTGAGCAGCGCTAGCGCCGATATTGGCTTTTCAGTGCTGGAAAAGAAGTCCGCCGTTATACCTACGAGTGCCCCCATGTTCAAAAACGAAATCCCGAAACCGTGGATGCTCCGAAGCCCCCTTTAGTAGCGGCCTACGGCGAGGCGGCGAGTCTTCAGGTGAAGACGACGAAGAATCTCTGCTGGATTTTAACAAACTTATCTGCAACCTATGCAAACGGCAGTTAGGATCGGCCGAGGCCCTAACGAAACACGCCAAAATGTCCACTTTGCACAAGCAAAACCTCGAGGCGAGAAGGAAAAAAAAGGCAGACGCTTCTGGGAAAACTGTCTATAGGGACAGGGCGAAGGAGAGGCGCATGAAATATGGCGACCCTGACGAGCCCCAGCCCAGTAAACTGAAGGAAAAGTATCTGAAAGCTTTAAATACCGAAGTTCCTGCGACACCGACGTCTGTGATGGAGCCAATAGGCTCGGAGAATGTAGGGAATAGACTGTTGCAGAAAATGGGATGGACTGAGGGACAGGGTTTGGGAAAGTCCAACCAGAGAAGAACAACAATCATACAGGTAAATTATTATTTATCAATCTTTCTAAAAATCATTTATTATTAGAAATAAAAATGATTTAATGGGTTTTTTTCTTAGGCTGAACAGTACGGGAGTTCGGTAGGTCTAGGTAACAAACTGGCAGGCTATACTGCTGTGGCTGGCGAATCCTATAAAGACTGTGTAAAGAAAATGATGTACGCGAGGTATCAAGAGTTAACCGAACGAGAGAACAACAGATAAATATTTTGCCAAAATCTTTTACTTTTGTTTTTGTCGGTCAGTGCTCTTTCATAATTTTGTTTATTTTTTCTTTATTTTAATATGTCCGACTATTTTTTTTTTCTTTGATATTCGCCTATTATACATGTATAAACATCAAGGAAGCTGTTTTTGAATATTGCCTCTTTTTTAGTGTATAAAAAGTATACATTTTGTACATTACGCTCAATTTAAATGTTCTAGATACTTAGAATTATTTTTTACTTCAAACCGAGTATTATTCTGGATGTACACACTCGCCGAGGCGACCCGAGGCCCGACAAAAAATGAACGGTTTGTGCATTGTTATTGGTTAGGGCCGTCCTTTGTCGCGTCTCGTGTCGCCTCGGCGAGTGTGTACTTCCAGCATTATAAATAAGTATAACTAAGCAGCTCTCAATCAGGTATTTTCATTCTGTTTATTTTAAAATTTCTTATGAAATATTCTTAAATTATTTGCCGATTTTTTTTCGCCATTTTAAAAATTTCGTTCTTTTCTTGAGTGATATATATTTTGTTTTTTTATTTTTGTTTATTGTGTGTGATATATTTGGTTTTTGTATTTTAGTAGTACAATGGAAGCCCGAAATTCTTTTAGTTTTAATACTCAACCATTGCCTACGGCATTCAAAGTAATTTTTATTATTAGGTATCCTGCAATGACAAAGACAAACACGATTCATTTCTAAATTACTGTTTTTCTGATTATCCGTATCTATTTTTAATTTTTATGGATAGCTCATGACAATTCAGAGGGAAAAGAACAGAGGTCTCGTTGTTTTTTATAATAAGGTCTGCCGTTTTTAATAAAATGTTTGCCAGATCATTTTGGCAATTTTCAGTACCCGTGTGTAATATTCGGATACAAAGTTTTTTAAATGTTCTTCTAAACTGGATGAATTTATCCTGGATGGGAATAAGAATAGATTTATAAGATACTGGAATTACAAGAATTACAAGATAAAGTTGTCGTATCAGATTTTTATGAGTGCAACTGTACACTCAAATCTCGCGACAAACTTTTTTTGGATTTTCATTAAATCCTAATTTGGCAACCGACATCGAACGCCAACAACTTATGTGATACGGACATGTCCAGAGGATGGATGACACACGACTTCCAAAACAAATTATGCAATGGATACCCCAACATCGAAGAAAACGTGGAAGACCTAAGAAGACTCGGAAGGAGGGTGTCACAAGAGCAATGAGTGCCAGAAATCTAAGCGAGGGGCAATGGAACGATCGGAAGACGTGGAAGTTAGGCATCGGACAACGTCGCAAGACGTTCTAAACCAATATATGATGATGATCATTAAAAAAGGAGAACTTAAAAAAACGACAGCTGTCAAACTTGACAGTTCAAACGTAAGACAAATAAAATGAAAACCGACTATGGGGTAGGGAGCATCCAATATATCGATTTTTATCAAAATCGGACAACTTTATAATTTTTTTGACAGCTGTCAAATTTGACAGCTCAATTTTTTTTCTTTCATTTTAACTCATGGCCATCCTATATATAGATTTTTATCAAAATCAGACAACTTTGAAATTTTTTTGACAGCTGTCGACAGCTATTTGACAGCAAGAAAATGTATTGTCTTCGGGACTGAACCTACATGCAAAATGTCAATTTCCTACAATGAAAGGAAGTGCTTCTAATTTAGCTTACAAAATTTGCCCCGAACAAACATACATACAAAGCAAATTAAATAAAAGCGTGTAAAATAAGCCAGGGACTGCTTCCCATTGGTAAAGATACCTCTTACCATAACAACATCCTATATATAGATTTTTATCAAAATCAGACAACTTTGAAATTTTTTTGACAGCTGTCTTCAGCTATTTGACAGCAAGAAAATGTATTGTCTTCGGGACTGAACCTACATGCAAAATGTCAATTTCCTACAATGAAAGGAAATGCTTCTAATTTAGCTTACAAAATTTGCCCCGAACAAACATACATACAAAGCAAATTAAATAAAAGCTTATAAAATAAGCTAGGCACTGCTTCCCATTGGTAAAGATACCTGTTACCATAACAAAATTAGACACCCGAGCTGGTTTAAACTCTCTGTTCCCCTTCTGGTCCTCAAAATACTCTCCTTATAAAATAAGCTAGGCACTGCTTCCCATTGGTAAAGATACCTGTTACCATAACAAAATTAGACACCCGAGCTGGTTTAAACTCTCTGTTCCCCTTCTGGTCCTCAAAACCTACAATATTATCACGACCACTATTATAAAATAAATTGCACTTGATATTCATATCATCAATACATAGAACACAATATCGATTAAGTTCATCCGGTTCATCGAAACTTTCAACTTTTCTTTTTCAGAGTCTCAAAATACACTGAGATTTTCTAAGCCAGGTTTGATATCGATGTCATATATTCATTATCTTAGTGTCTCTAGGTCTCTGGACGTGGAAGGCAAAATAGATTTGTCAAGAGCGTCTTGTATATTTTTGGCCCGGAAAAGTATATAGCCAAACATTTATATTTAAATTCATCAGTTACTTTTCTTCCTTTAGCTGATTTGTTAATTTGTGCAATTTGAATATTAACAAAATTTGCTATGTCCATTGATGGACATAATTTGTACGTAGCCTCTTTAGATTGTTCAATAGATATTTCATTGGGTATCTCTTTAATTCTTGTAACTCCTGGCATGTTTTTTAATTTTAATTGTCTATTCTCAAAGTTAAATGTTTAATTGATTTTTTCATTTTTATTTTTCGAGGAATATGTGCGGCTAACGATTCAATTGTTTAGATAAAAGTATTGTGTAAATAAAATTCAGTTTCAGTCAGTTACAGCATTTTTTTAATACGACCCTGTCTATCAATAGTTTACTTTCTGGGAAATTTTTGATACATTTTAATCCGGCCCTGACTCGGCACCCATAATGGTGTTTTCAAGGTCAAATTTTATAGAAATTTTAAACAATGGGATCTGGGCTGAGTTAGCCTGCCGTGTGATTTATATGCCGTGATATCTTATATAATTTCCGTGTTACAATTTTAGTTACCGTTATGAAGTGTAGAGGTAAGGAGAAACAACTCTTATGGGACTTTTATTGAAAAAGTGGTCCCAAACTGGGAAGAATAAAGGTTGACCAAATGACCACAGTGGCGCTAAAAACGCATAAATCTAAAAATTATAAAGTAACCATAGATAAGAGAATAAAAACAACAAATACGTTTAAATAAAATATACTACGGCCTCCCCATAAGAGCAATGGGATTTACGTCCCAGCATTGAAGGACAGAAAATCGAGTCGAATGGTTTCAAGACATAAGTTCATCCTTGTTTAGTCAAACCTCCTACAAACCAAGGATAGACTTATGTAGGAAATGCAGTGAAATTCTATAGCCATCCTTCAATATCGGGACAGGAATTTAAGGGGTACCCTCCGTATATTTTATTTTAAACGTATTTGAAAAACATCGTAATAATAATAAACCTTATTAGACAAGGAAAGAGAGGGGACGGGTAACACGCATATTCTCCCTTGATCGGTTTGTGAGGCCAAAATTCGATCGGCGGTCATACTTTGGTCTTTGGTGACAAGATTTCGAGGTGACACCGAGCGAATTTTTATGTTTTTTGTGACGACTGTTTTGTTTTAAATTTATAGACTGTGTTGCTTAGTATGGTGAGATGTTCAGCGTATGGCTGGAAAACCGAAGCGAGAAAAAAGTGGCTGGAATTACATTTCACAGGTAAAAATCTTTTGTTATGTGGTCATAAAATGTACATTTTTTCATTATAGCAGTAAAAATATGTAAAATGCTTTTAATATTTCTGGCACCACATCCAAATCAAACTATTTTTAATAATTCCAAGTAGTATTTTCAATATTTTGTATTATAATTAATGTTCGAAACTATAAATAATCCTACTCAGCCTGGATTTCTCCAGTGGCGTAGGGAACTATAATCAGAGAAATACAATTTCTGCAATAAACATTTTTTTTATATATTTTACCTGTAAATTTATTTTTATTTTTTTTTTTGTAGTTAATTTCTGCAATAAACAGTTTTTTTATATATTTTAACCTAACCTTATTCTAACCTTCCTTATTTTTTTTACTTTATGAAGCACCCAGTATATTCTACAATATAACAATACAAATAATATACAATACAAAAAAATATACAATAATACAAAAAAATATACAATACAAATATATTCTACAATAATTTATAACGTGTATCTTAACCTTGTGAGTTTATAATCATCTGCTGATGATGCTAACATGGTTAGCGAAACGCGCGTCCAGTGTAAAAGTAAAAGTGTTTTGGTGTATTGTGGTGATTTAGTGTTTTTATTTTGCTGTGTAACACGAAAGGTTCCAACCCTCAACTGTAATAATCGATACCAAGCTTCCACCCATTGATGGTTTCTATAACGAACTTAGAAAAGAAGCCATCAAACAAGGAGATTACGAGCGTGCATTGAACGTATGGAATTTATTTAAATGTCAAACTTTAGGCGAATATTCAGATATATATTTAAAACTGACGTACTATTATTTTAGTTTCGGAGATATTAATTTAATCGGACCTTTTTAAAAAAATTAATTTTATTTTTCAGAAACTATTTGAGACAGAGTTTACCAAAAATGCTTTTTATATCCACTAGTGGGTAAATAAATTTGTAGATATATTACGACATTTCTTGGAACTTTAGTTTTGGAGATATAAATTTAATCGGACCTTAACGCTACAACATATTACGAAATAAGCAAAATCGATTTTCGAAAATTTTCCAAAATTTTTCGAAAAAATTCCTCGGCACCGTCCTGTAGATTTTGTCGAAAACCGAAATCTCTCAGATTGCAACTAAAATATGCTCACTTATAGTTCATTTTATGTAGAATTGTTTGCCGAAAGCCATTTTCCGATATCTCTAACAGATTTCGAGTTATTTGAGAAAATCTACAAAAGAAATATTTTTTTCTATTTTCCGAAACATTTAACACCATATATCTCTGGAACAAAAAGTGTCAATCTCAAAAACGATGCGGTTTTTTAAAGTACACATTCAGCGCTACAACATATTACGAAACAAAATTGATTTTTCAAAATTTTCCAAAATTTTTCGAAAAAATTCCTCGGCACCCCTCTGTCGATTTTGTCAAAAACCGAAAT